ACAGTTCTACTTCTCAAAAATACCATGTGAGGAGGGAGCCAGCCTGGTTTGGGATCAAGTTGAGTTAAAACCTCCCCACTCCCTCCAGCCCCGTCGTGCCCCAATGTGGATCAGGATCCACATATGTACAGATCATACTTTTAAAAGCATGTGTGCAACTGCTTGTCATATGAATGCTGTATCTAGTTGGGCTCCAATCCTAGGCACTACCACAAAAAATTTCTTACCAGTCTGGCAGATACTGCTGCTTTTATAGGACTGGTATACTACAAGAATCAGCAAGATGATTTACTTGCAAGACTACTTAGATCCCACTTTTTTGCAGGTAAGACTTTCCGAATTAAGCTCATACAGTGGTATTACCAAGTTCTGCAAACACCAGGTATAAATAGAAAAACTGGCTTAGTTTGTCCCACACCCTCATGGCGTAAGGAGTGTACACCGTCTGCCCAGGTAATGTCACTCCCTTCTCCACCCTCCATTTGTCTTATTCTGCTAGGAACATTCTACACCTTTTAAATCCAGGTAAGTCATGGATAAGGCATTGTGCAAGGGATCTGCAAGGAGAGACTATCTAGCATCCTGCTTCAAGATCAACTAAATATTCACAGTGGGCCATATTTATTCATAGGCAAAGAAGCAGGAGAACGAAGATCAACGTAAGTACATCTACTCAAGAGCAGATGGGGGGACCTTGCAATGTAGTCTCTATCTTGGGGTGGACAACTTGTGGCCTTCCAGATGTTTTGGCCTCGAACTTCCATCAGCTCTCACCATTGGTTATGCTGGCTAGCACTACTAGAAAAAGGCCAGCCTTTCTGTAATGACGCTTCCTTGCTGTAACTTGCAGCAAAGCCATACACAGACCGTTTCTGTGACCCAGTGACCATGGCCTCAGCCAGACTATGGGCCCAAAGGCTTCTGGGTAATCTTAGTAATAGTTATGAGATTGCTGAAAGCAGCTCCTGATTTAGTCTCTGTGTTTAAAAGCTGTAGATCAATCAATCAGTGAAAGCTTTACATTTCTAAGGCTGCAGATCAGTCAGAAGCTAAATTAAGACACCTATATGCTTGGAAAGTAATTACCTAGCCATAACCACAAGTGTTAAGGGGAAGCAGTTATCAGAAAACCTTCACTAATTCTAACCACAAACTAGGTCTGGGAGACATCTAGAAGACCCAAAACGTCACAAGAAACAATTCTTAGAAAATAGCAACAAAACACCTAGCTAGAAGACCCCACTAATGACTCTCTAAAGGTGACATGACATGGGAGGCCAGGATTGGTCGGTCTGGAATTGGAGAGCACTTGGACATGCCTGCTATTTGCCAGTCTGTAATCTATAAAGACCATGCCCAAACCTTTGCTTTTTGTCAGCTCAACATTTGGGCATGAACCACTGCTGACCTCTTTTACATGCAAAATAAATGGTTTAAGTCTCTGCTGGGTGTTGCTTCCTTTTTTCCTGATAATTGAGACCCTCCTGGAAAAAGACCAATGGCATTTTTGCAACAGCACTGATGGGGCACAGCAATTCAGCATCTCCTAGAAGGTCAAAATATGTCCACCCCCTGCTAGTTACACTGATTTTAACTGTAGGATCACTTAAATGAGAACAGTACAACTATCTTTGTGGGACAAGAGCAGGCTTAGATCAAATCCACCTCCCTCCCTCTCTCTCGCTATAGGCTACTACCAAGAGACAAGCCCCAGCTGTCAGCAGAAGTTGTACTTTCTTCCCCTCGCCTCCCATGCCTAACTCTCTCATGGACAGACAGGTCCTCAGGCCTAGCAGCCAAACCTGCCAGATCACTTTGCTACAGATTCCCCTTCTACCCCCAAAGCATTCCAATATGATTAAAAAGGAAGATTTTCAGTTCCCACATTCTCCAAAAAGTTGCAAAAGTACTTTGTGTTAGATTTCGGGAGGAGAGGGGGTGGGGTTCAGGGAACAAGCAGCACAGAAGTGCCATTGATGGCACACAAGCCTTGGTCTAGCCTCAAGTAGTTATCTGGATTGTGGCCTAGAACTCCTACACTAAGAATCTTATGAAGAATGGCCCACAAATCTTTAACAAGAGTATAAAGCAGGCCATTTGAGACTCCTGATGATTTTCATGCCCTTGGGGGAATTCTAACTACCCATTGTTTGCAATCTTAGCCACTTTGCTGAGAAAACAGTTAAGTATTCCCCAAACCCATCTATAGTAGGAGGTGGGAATACCTATCTTTTTTCCCTAAACAGCTTTAGAACCAGGTTACCTGGTTCATGGCCTTCCCCACTGGAGACCTACGTGGTCTTTCAGTTCTTTGAGAATTGCAGATTGTCATTTGGCAGTCCTGTAGTGACCTTCTCTGTGGTGGCACCTGTCCATTATGGCATGTCATTTGTGGCACACTTTAGGCACCAAATGAGCAATCTGTTCCTCATGCAAGCCTTCCCTGGGGTGCTGCCCAGTATATATGTTTATTGTGGTGTTGAATTGATTTTAATATTTTGACAAATGTTTTAGCCATTATGATGTATTTAAATTTCCTTGTAAACCGCTTCAGCTTTTAAAAATATGGTAAGTGGAGTATAATTCAAAACTCTGTTCCATCTGAGGCATAAAAACTATGGCTGCCTTGATAATGTTGGACTGCATACCAAGTTTGCTGGCCTTACCATAATCTCTGAGCTACAGGCTCTGCAGTTATGGTCTATGCCAGGACATCTGTAGTGTTCCTTCCACTGCTGGAATTTGACAGCAGATCTGGCACTCATTTTTCCAGCCAGCAGCACCCAGCTCTGCCTCCTGCATCTGAGGCTCAGTATCTGGGCTCCCGAGAGTCTTCCAAACTCAGTGAGAAAGTTGGAGCAAGGGAAGAGAAAGCAGGAGCAAACTGGAAAAAAGGGAGCAAGTTGGAAAAAAGGGAGAGGCCCTGGATGAACCCGTGAGAACGCGGTAGTGGAAGCAAGCAGGAACATAAGGTGTGCAAGGCAACAGAAAGAATGCACTATGATGTATAGAAATAAAATTAAGGATGCAAATCCAGACAGTGGGAGCTTGAAGAGACCTGTAGTGGCGGAGGAAGACAGTATGTCCTGAGGTTATGAGAGAAGATGGGGTTAAGACATGGTGTCGCTGTTCTTTCATTTATATACCATCCCACAGATGAAACTTTCTGGGCAGTTTACAGTGGTCCACATAAAAACAGAATAATACAATAAAAGTAACAGCTAGACATAAATAATAAAAGCAGACAGTAACAAGGAATAATGAGTCACCCTGCAAAGCATGTGGTGATCACCCCCAAGCCCGTGGGTGGCCAAGCCACACAGAGGACTGTGCTAACCTAGTGCTGAAAAGAGGACAGATTCGGCATCAGCTGGGCCACCATGGGCGGCTATTTCATAGATGGGGGGCCGCCACCAAGAAAGCTCTCTACCTTGTAGCCACCCTCCATACTTCTCCAGACCTGGCAGTTGGAGAAAGGTCCCAGAGGCTGAGCACAGTGTCCAAGTCGGGCACAGCTGGGAGGAGGGTTGCGACAGGTTTTGTGGTCCTAAGAATAGTGGAATGGTAATCATAACACATCAGACCTACTTCTCATTCATACCAATTAAAGTAACACAGTTTTCCCCAAACAGTAAGAATTTAGCGCATGGAGAATTGTATTTAAAAGCTTTTCTAACCCGCCCACTACTACCGTCTTGGGACGGCTTACAAAAAATGAGTAGAATAAAACATTGTCAGGGATTTTGTGGTGTTTTGTTAGGAATCCCAACACTTCAGAATTTTCTCATTTTAATATCCATTTGGAGAAGAATTAAAAGTGGAAAAGCTTTCTATTGGTTTTCCCCTTTTTTAAATGTACTAGTAAGCAGCTCTCCTCTAAGTTTCAAATGTGAGTTTGCCCTCGTATGCATGCATCGGCAAACAATTTATTGAAACATTATTTAGAGTGCATGTGTGGTGGTGGTGGTGGTGGGGAGAACAGTTGCAAAGGTCAAGCACTCCTTCCCACTCAACTCCTTCCTGGTGCTCATTAGTTAAACTGCAAAATTATAAATCAGTTTGAGAGAAATGCTGTAGAGCAGGGGTTTCCAGCTTTTTGGACCTGTGCGCACATTTTAGGAATAGGCAATGCTGCTGCGTATGCCAACATGAAACAGATCCCATGGTGGGTATGGCTAGTCTGATAAGGGCTACCAAGGGGGTCTTGCTTATCCAAAAGGAGCTAAAGAGATGCTGTGGGGAAGAAAAATGGTGAGGCTGGAGGTTGTGTGGGATGGGAAAATAACAAGGCAAAATGGTAAAGGGGAGAGAAAGAGTAAAACTAGAGGTCACAAAGGGAGAAAAAGATGGCTGCCCTGTGGTTTTCCAAGGTATAAGGGGGCATCATTGGAGGTGCCTGCTGATGCTACAGCTGCAGTGGGGACTCCCTACTGTATACAAATGTAATGACTGAATGTATGAATGAATGAATGAATGAATGAATGAATGAATGAATGAATGCACAAAGATATACCCTGAATACAACAGGAAATGACCACGATATAAAAATAATCGATCCTGTTCAGTTTTGCCTATCTCAAAATGGATGCCATTTAAAAGTCAGTGTGGCGTAGTGGTTAAGAGCGTGGGACTGGGACTCAGACGATCCGGGTTTGAGTCCCCGCTTGGCCATGGAGCCAACTGGGGGACTTTGGGCCAGCCGCAGACTCTCAGCCCAACCTACCTCACAGGGTTGCTGTTGTGGGGATAAGATGGAGGAGGAGAATGATGCAAGCTGCCTTGAGCCCTTTGTAGGAAAAAGGCAGGATATAAATCCAAAAATAATAATAAAAAAAAATAAAAGTCAACACAATGTCCAATTATTCTGGGAATTATAGTTAAAATGAATAATATAGTATTTTTATGACTTATGCAAACACAGGTAATGCTGTTAAGTATGTAAAGTTATTATCAGTTGAAAAGCTGGATCTGTTGTCACTGTACTGAAACACAGGCAAAGGTAATCAAGAATGATTTAATGATTAAAACACAAAACATTAACAATGCAGATATTTCAGACAAGCTAGGTTTTTTATTTTTAGCACACACATTTAGACAGCATATTTTGAATGGTGAAGCTGCTGTATGAAATATGTATAGACTCTGCAAATCAGTACCTAGAAACCGAGACACACACATACAAACTTTTAAGGGCATTAAAAAATATATGAGCACACACAGACTGCTGCTCTCTTTGCTTTCAAAAAGAAGCAAAACAACTGAAAAAAGAAAAAGAAAAATCCACAATGGTAATAGGGAGAACTAATTAGTTTTCCAATATCATCTGTGCAAAAACATGGTAAAACTGATATTTACATAAATATCAAATCATAATTAATAAACAAATTATGGGGGGGATATGAGGAATAATATGGCTTGACACAAATAAAGTACAAGGAACTGCATGTTAATAGGCTAAAACTCCACCGTATTACATAGCATATCTGTTACAGATGCCGGCTTTACAACGGACACCGCAAGTGCAGGGAGGGCTTTTACAGTGAACAGTGATTTCTTCTAGCATTTCTAAATGTCCTTTCACACGTCAAGAAAACACAGGTGAAATAAACATGGAAACAGACACTCACAGCCAACATATTTCAAAGGGTTTTTTTCACATAACATTGAAAATCTGGCACAGTCCAGTTTGCACATTTGACCAAACAAGCAAACGAACAAAACCCCTTTTCTATAGGCACATTTTAGACTCACTGGGTGGAATCCAAGGGCTCCTTGTGCGAGTGGAAGGTATTTCTGTTTGCCTCGGACAGGTCTCCAATTTTTTAATTTCCCCTTACTGTCATAAGGGCTACATCCCACATTGTTCATTCCCAAGGATACTGTAACCACATGCTGTTTCCCAGGGTTCAGAATGCTGCAGTGGGAAGGGGAAGCTCTGTTCTGCCAGTAGAATTCCACTTGTGGTTTTTAAGCTCCAACCCAATTTATGTTATACAAATAGCAACAACAACAAAATTACAACTTAAGTATAAAAAGTAAAATACCAGAATTACCCTGAATTCCACTTTGTGAAGTTTGGTCAGTTTTGAGAATGTGGATGCATCACAACTAGTGCAATTTCCAGCAAACTGCCTTGTAGTTATGTCACAGATACATTGAAGTTGGCTTGCCAGGGTTCAACCTGAAGATTTGGCTCTGTGAATTTAAAACTACCAGTGAAGTGGAGAAGAGCCAGGTGTGGTTTTCACCCAGTTCCTTCATCAAGAGGGGAGCCAAAATGAACAGGCAAGAGAAGCTCCAGCTGGTTCATTTCACACCTCAGTGAGAGCTTTACAAAAGACAGCATTCTCAGGCTGCAACCTATGGGTGCCAATTTAAAAGGGTGTTGGATGTCCCGGACACCCCATACATTCTCAAAGGTTAGACAGTCAGCACCCATTTCCAGACCCTGCTTCAGTGCCAATTAACTGTCCCTTATCTATGCAAACTAAAAATGAGTCGGGGGGCGGGGGGGAGCCTGCTGTGGACCTGAGCAAATGAATCTAAAAAGATATCAAACACAATCTTCTCCTCCACAACTAATGTCAAGAAATAAATGGCCATGTTTTTCCAGTGTCCCTTTCACTTCGAGCACATCGTATGCAGAAGCGTTGAGATTAGGCGCACAGCAGACTTCTAAGGGGGGACGTGCACATGGCATCTGGCTACCTCATGGAAGGAATCAAAGAATGATGAGGGGCTTCCGAACAAGCCACTTTTTACCCCCAATGCTGGGTACACGCACATATGCATGCACACACATGCTCAGCGATCAGTGGTGCACACAAAGGATTTGTGAGTGCTTTGTCTTAGCGTGGCTGCTCAACCATATTTTGAAGAGGAAATCCACAAATTTATACACATGTGATCTTTTCACATATTGGACAGTTTGGTTTTGTATTTGGATTTCTATGCCAAAGTAGAAGGTGTCTTGTGACAAGTTTTTCCCCGAGTGAAACATTTCCATAAATTTTCAAACCGGTATTACGTATTGGGCCCTGCTTTTATTTTAATTTAAGGCATGTGTGTTTTAAACAACTAAAATAAAATAAAATAAAAAACTAAACATCATCGTACAAGTTACAATCACATGCATTATCTACAGTTAAAAAATATGAGTTTGGATTACAGTCTTGAATTTGTGAATCATAATTCAGCACCTATCATATTGACTAGTAAGGCAACAGCAGTGTCATTGATATGCTATATATATATATATATGCACATAGATATACACACACACATATATATATATATGTAATATTCTACAATAATACTCCCTTCCACAGTTTAAACTTGGGTCTGTGACCACCCAGTATTATCAACATCATCAACTTTAGCCTATGGATAGTTTCTAGGATGTTTTGCACTGGTTAAGTCCTACATAAATCAATACTATTCTAGGCAGGAATAGTTACAGTAGCTGTCAAGAGTTATCAGTGCACAACACATATTGTGCTTACAATCAGATGATTTTTGTTGCCTGGAATATCAAAATGGTTTCTTAGTTTGGTCTTCAATCCTTCCTTTGTTTTCTTTGCTTCACATTGTTCTCAAGAGAAGAAAAGCTATTTGTGTACCCGTTCACAGCAGCCGTGGAGCCATTCTGATATTCTTTCCTTCTGCAGGCTGCCTTTTTGTTGTAAGTCTAAAAAACACACATGGAGATCAATAGTAAGCATTTGCCATGGCAACAAAGGGGCAAATTAGTTGGTTTAGGACACTATCCCATTCATTTTAGCTAGATGTAATTCCTACGACTCCCAGAATTGCCCAGCCTCCATGGCTGGCAGAGGGATGGTAGGAGTTGCAGTATTTTTTTTTCATTTAAACATGCAGAAGATTGTGTACTTAAGATTGTTATTTAACAAGCACCCACTCCTTCAGGTTGGCCTAAAGCTGGAAGACCTAGGTTCAATCCAGATGTAACAGCAAACCATCTCATCCTGGTTTGATAGCCTTGTTTGCGAGCTATGGTTTGCACAAACCACAGTTTTTCAAATTCAAATGAAACAGGAAGCTATGACTTCTTGCAATCTGTGACCAAGATCTTTTGCCTCATCTGTGGCAAAAGGAGAAATTCTCATCTCCAAACCATGATTTGAAAAACTGTTTCAGTGTGGCCTGACAGTTTTTAAGAATGCTGAAGGTGGTAAAGATCATCTGCACAAGTCCTCCTCTGAGAGCTCTCCTTGAAAAAGGTGAAGGGGGCTATTATGAGGAGGCGCTGCTGTAAAACCCCAATTATGGAACTTGTTCCACAGAGAGATGCGCCTGGTGCCAACACTATATTCGTTCTAGCACCAGGCCAAAACTTTTCTATTTACCCAGTTTTAAAATGGTTGACTGGTATTTTATTCTATTTAGCACTTTTATATACCATCTCATAGCCACATGGCTCTCTAGATGGTTTACATAATAAAAGCCAACAACATAAAACTTCATAAATAAAGCAATTAAAACCACACTATCATTAAATAATAAACATAAGGTAACATCACCCTCATAGCAGGAACACAAAGAAATACTTTAACAACAGACTGGAAAGATCTTAAAACATCACAATTAAGAATACTAAAATTTACTTTAAAATACCAATCAAAATCAAATTTCAACTAAAATAAGCAGCAATTAAAATGCTCCTTAAATAAAAATGGTCCGGCACCGGAATGTGTATAAGGATGGTGCTTGGCAAATAGCTCTGGGAAGTCAATTCCATAGATGGGGCATCACAATTGAGACGGCTCTGTCCTGGGTTCCCAGCCTCCTAGCTCCCTTTAGAGATGGCTCCTGAAGCAGGACTTCTGATGACGATCTTACAGGCTTATATGGATGGAGATGTTTTTTCAGATATTCAGGCGCTACACCATTTAGGGCTTTATAGGTTAAAACAAGCACCCTGAAGTGGGCCCAGACTTCAATGGGCAACCAGTGTAATTCATAGAGGACTGGTGTTATGTGCATGGTATGACCAGTCCCTGTCAGCAGCCTAGCTACTCTGTTTTGCACCAACTCTAACTTCTGGACAACTTTCAAGGGCAGCCCCACAAAGAGTGCATTACAGTAGTCCAACCAAGAGGTTGCTAAGGCATGGATTACCGTTGCTAGGTCCTGCCTGTCCAGATATGATTCAAGGTGATGAATTAACTGGAGCTGACAGAAGGCACTCCTGGCCACTGAGCCAACCTGGTGCTCCAGGGACAGGTCAGGGTCCAGAAGCACCCCCAAACTCCAGACCCTGTTCTGCTGAGGAAGTGCAGCCCCATCCAAGACAGGGCAAATATCCCCCATCTGAACATGGGAGCCACCTATCAACAACACCTCTGTCTTGTCTGAATTAAGTTTCAATTTGTTGGCCTTCATCCAGTCCATTACTCAGTCAAACATTGGTTTAGGACCATCACTGCCTCACCTGGGTTGGATGAAAAACGGATAGAGTTGAGTGTCATCAACATACTGATGGCAGTTCAGCCCAACCCCCCTGATGACCTCTCCCAGTAGTTTCATGTAAATGTTGAAAAACATGGGGGATAAGATAGAGCCTGGCAGTACTCCATGACATACTTTCCATGGTGCAGAGCTACATTCCCCTGGCAACACCATCTGGAATTGGTCAGCCAGGTGTAAGTGGAACCACCGCAAAGCAGTTCCCCAGACTTCTACCCTGGCCAGCCTATCCAGAAGGATACCCTGGCTGATGGTATTGAATGCTGCTGAAAGGTCTAGGACAGTGGTGGCGAACCTATGGCACGCGTGCCGCAGCGGGCACACAGCACGCAAGCCAAGTCACCGCAGCATCACCCCAGCAGCCGAGCATCGGATAACAGTGCACATAGGGGCCATGCGCATGCTCGGAAAGGAGTAGCGGTGCCAGGCAATGACGTCATGAGCCATGACTCATTAGCTGTGACTCGTCCGAGCTTTTGCATGGCCAGTCAGTGCATTGCCAAGGATATATATACGTTTGCTTGGACTGGCTGTAAGTTTTAATACATTCGTTTTTATTAACACAAGATTGTAGCTTTTGAGTTTTCTTATGAACAACTGAAATGTAATATCTATGATTTAGCAAAGAGATGTTCTAATTAAGAGACTGAGATTCTTTTAATGTTGTGCTGTCCCCCTGGCATATTTGAACCTGCAATGTTGGCACTTTGCAATAAATAAGTGGGTTTTGGGTTGCAATTTGGGCACTTGGTCTCTAAAAGGTTTGCCATCACTGGTCTAGGAGAACCAACAGGGATGCACTGCCCCCGTCTTTCTCCTGACAAAGATCATCCCACAGAGCAACCAAGGCAATTTTAATTCTTTTAGTATCAAATACTGGCACTAAGTTATTTTTAATTGTTTTATTGCTGATTTTTTTTAAAAAATGTGTAAATTGTCACAAGATTTTTAATGAATGATGGTTAAGGAAATGTTTAAATAAATGAATGAATGAGTGAATGGGTGTTGACCAGTTTGCATAATCAAAACAGGTATTAGGAGGAGTGAACCTGTTTTCAGGTTAGGGAAGGCTACTAGACAGTGCGAACAATGACACTTCTCCAGTGGTCGGGGGATGTCATCATGCATGAACGCAAGCTGCTTTGTGCCATATGCAACAGCTCTACAGTGTTTTGCCTTAATGATCACAAAAACTGCATTATCCCATGACTTGGTATCACAGCAACTGGCCTCAATTCTGATATCCTCAACTCCACCCATGCCCACTCCCCCCCCCCCGCCCCGATATCAACATACACATTATTTGTTACTGATGTAAGTTAAGGGCAATTAGCATTCCCTGGACTGGGGCTGTTGCATTGTGACTATTCAGCTGAGTAGATTTCTTTGTTAAAAATCCTATTTCATTTGTTTGGGGTGTAAATCCGCTCCATTTAGGAACACAGTAACTTTCTGGACCAAATTTATTTTAAGTAATGAAACTAGTAGAAGGCAGCAGTCCCCTGAATTGTAACAGAACATTCCACTGGTGGGAGAGAGCATAAACTCCTTCAGGAAATACACATTTCCTCCTTAATTTGCCACTGTCGATTTGTCAGCCATTGAGAGGGAAGGGAGAAGCATTTCGCCCTGTCTTACTAAGCATGGGCTTCACTTTTATTTAATGACATTTGTGCTAGGAGTTTCCCATGCACATTTGCTGTGGTTCTCTTCTTGATATGCTTCTAAGGCAATTTATGTATTAAAGCAGACTTTGAGAAATAACACCACCTTTGTCACTAAGAACACTCACTCATCTCCCTGAATTGCACAATATAATGAACAAAAGCAATTGTAAAACTGATGTTAGGGGTGGCAAGCCAGTCTGCCCTGTGCTAGGATCCAGTTATTCACGTTTTAGAAGTACGTTCTGCTATATTAACTTCCCAGTAATATTTTTTAACATCAGTGATTATAAACACAAAAATGAACCACTAACTTAATTTACCTGAATATAGAAATTTGTGAAAAGAATGATTAAAGTAATCATGTAGCCTATCTGGAAGTATAACCATCCCAGAGGAAAGGGACATGGCCAAACAACACCACAGCTTGTCTGGAAGATTGTAAGGACGAACTGAATCTGTAAGGTAAAGCAGGGAAAAACAAGTTAAGGGAGAAAGATCAAAAATAAGGAAGTATTCAAGCCATTTCCTATGTTAAGGAAATGACATAACTCTCAGCATGTTTTAGCCTACAACTCCCATCGGACCAGCCATCATTGCCAATGATGAGGTATGATGGGAGTTTTAGGGCAAAATATCTGGAGGGCCACAAGTTGCTCTCTCCATCCTATGCAGTACATCTGGACATGAATGGCAAATAGTGTAAACTGCCTTTTGTCCTTGCTGTTACAGGGATGTGCCCCCTTAACACATGCATCAGGGCTCTCCAAATGGCAGTGGGGTTGTATAGCTTGCCCCGTACAAATTCAATCCATTAGAAGCTGGGCATTCACTCTCATGAAGTCATACAGTAACAACTAACACAGGAAAAGTGATAAATTTATGAAAAAAGAAAAATAAATGAGTGGAGACAACCAATTACTATATGACTTCTGTTTTAAAATATTCCATGGGGCAGCTTGAACTGCACAGGAAGACAGTTTCTATAGGCTTTGGGCAGACTGTAAGCAGAGCTGAAAATTTCCCTGTGGCTAGGGAAGCCCACTTGGAGGACAGGTGACTGGCTGCTCACGTTGTCACTGAGAAGTTTGTAGCCAGTGATCATGCAGTTGGCCTCCATTTCCACCATATGTATTCCCCTCATTTTATAGAAATTGTGGCCCCCAGTTTTAAGTTGTCCTTAGAGAAATGAGTACCCTCTTTCGATCTAGCAAGAGTCAGCAGGTCTGAGTCTCACAGGAGTTATTTATTCTCCCCTCACTACCTCCCAACTTACAACTGCCGTGGACCACCAGTATCTTTTCTATACAAAACAAGTCTGCATGTCCAGAATCTCTGAAGGGTTTAGTGAGACTGTAGGCAGACTTTCGATTCTCACATGGATCAGACTGAAGTCTAGCATTCTGACTCTTTTGGCCATCTTAAAAAGTGAGAAGTCCTGTCCATTTTGAGCTTGCCCACCTGTCCTAAAATATCAGAAATTTTTAAAAGCGCTCCAAAGCATTCCTTCCCTTTTGGAATACAGTTATCATAGAACAGATTGACCCAACAATCTATGCATTTATATAGCAAGTTTCATAATCCAGTCATCCAAAATGTATAATCAATTATGTCATCCTTCACAAAGGTATTTCACCTTTACAGATATGGAACTAGAGCTGAAGAGATAAACTAAGGGTGCTGAATTTCAGGCGCAGGAGCCAAAAAGGGCTCCTGGAGTCTTAATTCAGCCCTCCAGGGTTCTCTAGATGACCAGACTCTTCCGCTGATCCTGGCTCTTTCTCCTGACTGATGATTTCTCGGTTTTCAGGCTTGTAAAGAGTCTTCCCACCCTGTTCTAAAATGTGTAAATAGTTCTCCTAAGTCATAGTTAGGAGTAATAATTTTAAGTTAGCAGAGTAATAATTTTAAGTTAAAATATGCTGTTAATTTGGCACCATTCCACTTTCAGCCTCACCTATCATTGCAATGTGATACCCAACAGTTTCTCCAAAACTAACTTGGTCAAAAGACTTAAGAGTTTCAACACCCCTGAGAAAAAGGAACTGACAGGATGCCATGCAACAGAAAATGCAGTGCACCCTCAAAAGCCCTGTGTGTACAGCAAAACAGCTTCTCGGTGCACAAGCTTCTCCATTTATTTGACTGGATGGGGCACGGAATGATCAGGAGGTCTCCACAAGCTGCAGAGCTCAGAATACATTTTGGATCCTTGCACCTGCTTAGGGCTGCATGACTAGCCAGAGACCACCTCTGCTAGGATAAGGATTATGGTTATCACTGCAGGTCCAATCATTTGACTGCACAGGAGAGCGTCTGATCTTTCCACATGACCTTTCATAGCTTTGGTTTAAAATGGCTACTGTAAGCACATGGCCACTCACCAGCTGTCCCTGAGTGATGTACTTCTTCCACCAAAGATATGGGCGCATGGATGGAATAGCAGATAATCCATAGTAGGAATACATGAGGACATGAATAAAGCTGTTAAGAGTGGCACCAAAATAGGCTACACGTGGTAAGAGAAGAGAGTGTTTTAATATTCTTTGTAACAACACGCATTACAGAAAAAAATTATAATCTGATTCTGCAGAACTTTTAAAACTCTACCACTAACATAAAAGCAAGGGTAAAAATGGGGAACATCACAGAACAGCTGTCTAAGGTCACATCTGCCATGCAAATTGGGTTTAACTGCTTTAATTGTCATGTGTTTTCCCCCAAGGCTGGCCTGGATTGTGTTTTTCAGAGGGTGCCACAATCTGTAATAGATCCCCAGCTCCCTCACAGGCCCTGATCCAGCTGCATGCAACAACATGCATGCAGCCTGAGGCAGAGGTTAGAGATGCGCTGCAAAAGGAAATATGCACCCCTATGCCATCCACAACAGAGCAGGAGCAGAAGGGTATCCACTGCTTTGCATCTGTGTATCACAATACAAATTCACATCTCCATGTGTATCTGTCTGTATGCATCTGTATGCATCTTTCCTGATCCATCAAGGGTATCTCGGTGCATCAACTGCTTCCTCTTCTCGTCTGCTGGACAGGTGGGACAGTCATTGTTACTTTATGGGAGTTCTGCATATTCCTGATACAACTAATATGAAAACTTGGACATACTGCATCTAGCTAACAAGATTGCAAGTGTTATGTGATGCTCATGTGGAGCCATTGATCTACAGAAGAGCATTCTTTAGGGAGTCACTCTGCTGCCTATTTCCAGTTGCAGCTAACAGCAGCAGCAAGGCTGCAGAGAACAAATATTTGACAAGATTGAAGCAACATCAGTCATGTTCCGTAGAGTAGAAAATTTTAATTGAGCGACTGGTTACTGCCACCTGCATAATGAAACAAATTAAAGGGTATCCTTATGACAAGAAGCTTGATGGAGAGAAGGACCATGTTTTGATCTCAAGCCATTAGAAATATTGCACATCAAGTTGGGAAGCTATTCAGTAAACCCAACAAGCTGGGCAGCAACAAAAGAATTTCCAACAACAAAATCTAAGCAGATATGCAGAACTGAAAGCAGACTGCGTAATACTGCTATTTTAACTCACTGCAAAACAAAAAAAACCCCCTTCCAACTAGAATTAATGCTTTCCTGGACAGTTAATGTATGTGTGTACATGTACACATCGCTCTTAAAATGAAATAGACCCTCACGGAAACAGACATACAAGCTTCCTATCGAGAATACTTACAATGGCCACAAGGCACCCAGTTCATAACAAACCACCAGATGTTCAACATAGTGGCATGGTGGTAGACATGAAGAACAGTGATCTGGTGGTTATTCTTCCGTAATATAAAGAAGAATGTATCCATGAATTCAATGAGCTTTGAGAAATAATACCACCAGAGGACACGTATGATCTAAGAAGAAGAAACACAGTTCAGACATTTACTCTGAAAAGACATACGAACTAGGAGTTCAAAGCAAAATTTAACCACCCAAAGGCTAACGTCTTTTAGATCATCTTAAAGAGTAAAGCCCTCAATAAGACCACTGTCAGTCAGAAGTTGATAGATCATCAAGCTGAGTAAAACAGGTCAGACAGAGCCTTACTTAAGATAATGGTCAGAGGCTGAAGCAGAAATCTATAGCGCTGTTCCAAAACATTTTATTGGCTGAAGTGGCATCCTATTAGCAGCCTTCCCTACCCCACACAGCTAAGATCAAACTGTAGATGTCCTACGGTAATATTCAGACACCAATCTCTGCTCGCTGATTACCTCTCTTCCATGCTGTTGCAGGGTGTCTTGTAAACCCAAGCCCAACATCGACTGCTTCAGGCTGGTTCTCCTAGTAAAGCACCAGCTGAGTTAGGTCACAATACAGGGAACTATGCCATTAGCTCCATGTTCCCAGTAGGGTGTAGGCCTTGAGTTTCCCCTACACAGAACTGTTACTTTTGCAGGGGATGGCTGTACCTCAGTGGCAAAAACTCATGCTTTACCTGCAGAGGGCCCCAGGACCAACCCTCATCATCTCCAGGTAGGGCAGAAGAAAAGACTCATGCCTAAAAACCTGGGCAGCTGCTGCCAGACACGTGTACAACACTGAGGAAGGTAAACCAGACCCAGTGGCTTGAGGAAGGAAAGCTAGCCTCGTGTTCCCTATTTTATTTGATTTATATCTTGCTGTTCCCTTATAACTCAAAGCGGCTTACATCATTTTCCTCCTCTTGCTCTCAATATTATCTCTACAACAACCCTGTGAGGTAGGTTGGGCTAAGAGGCTGGGAGACTGGCCCATTCATTTGGCTCCATAGCAGAATGGGGAGTAGAACCCAGATTGCTCAATCCCAGTCCTGTGCTCTTATCCACTATGCCACACTGGCTCTCTTAACTGAGGAAAGTTTCAAAACAGGTTTGCAGAGAAAGAGCGAGAGAGAGAGCGAGAGAGCGCGAGCGCTGTTCAAAATAAAGTCAGATGCCCCACTAGGTGGACCAGAGGCCTTGGAAACACCTGAAGTAGCTGTCTGGATTGCAGCCATAAAGCTGAAGCTGTGACTAAAGCAAAAGACACATCAATTTACACACCTATTAACATGGACATCAGGTGCAGCAGCACGCGCAAGGGAGGTGGTTTAATCTCTGTATCGCTACTATGATCTCAGAAGAACAAACTGAGCGAACAGAAGATAATGTTACTGTATTCCCTAAAAGGAACTGCTTTCTCCAGGTTGGAAAGAATGCAGCTCAGAGGATTGTTGGTGTGGAAGAGAAACATTTCTGCAGCAAGCAATAGCAAGCCATGATGCAAAATTTTAAACTATTCCAACTTCTGTATCTAAGTTATGTTATAGAATATAGAACTAGCAACCTCATGTTTGTGAATGTGGAAACAAATCTGGAATTTAGGGAGGTGGGTTCATAGATCACCTGCGTTCAATATAATGATTTTGAAAAGCATGAATATGGGAGAAGGTGCTTTCACAGTGGCCCCATCACTCCAGAATATACTATGAATTGAAATCCACCAAGCCCCATCACCACAGCCTTCCGGACTCATTTGCTCTCCTCACTTTTCTCTTTTCTGTGAGATTGTTGATGGTTTTGAATGCAATTTGTGTTTGCACTTGGAGGTAGTGGCAGTATTATTATTGCTACTGGCTTTTTATGAATACTAACATTTATTATTGTATTGTCCCAATTTTGTGAGCTGCTTTGAGAGGATTTTGTACCCCAAAAGGCAGTCTAACATATTTTAAATAAAAAGTAAATAGGTACCTCTGCTTGTCATTAAATCTCCTCTACACTTCCTAAACTGTGGTTTATCTGAACCAGAATTAGGTAAACTAGGTAAGAAATATAATGACCAGGTATGGACAACATGCTATGGCTCCCACGTTGAGCTAGTTTGCCTAATTTGCCTAGTTTGCTAGTTTGCCTAATTTGCTAGTTTGCCTAACAACTGCTTGGGAATTGCTGTGTTATGTGAAACCAGAGAGCATGGGTTATGCAAAGGTTAAATAAACCCTAAAAGAGACCAGGCCTACTGATTCCTTGTACAACCTTTTAAATTTTGGATCCAACATTTAGTCACTGAGTCAAAGTGTTGTCCCCCTAAAGAGACTTGGGTGGATATTCCTAATTCTGTTGATAGTTACACTTAGAAACAGAGCAAGCCAGAAGGGGAATGTCTAAAGCATAGCCATATCAAGGGGAGTCAGGCAGCAAAGAAGAGGGACATAAGGTACACCTGAACCAGCTGGTCTTCTGGGACACTAAGCCACTAATGAGCCAAGTGCTCTGCATGATAGCTCATAAAAACAGGTATTCATCAGCACTACAGCCACTTTTTCTGGGTTTGCTTTTTTCCTTTTGGGTTCAAAATATTGCTGCTGTCTTGTGATCCAGTTGTTTTTTTATTATATCATGAGTTTTGCACCATTTGTCCATCTCACAGAGATATGAGACTTTCAATTCCCTGTCACTGGTTATTAATATTCTGCCTTTTAAACAATCAGATGCAAATGTTGGTCGGTGTTCAGTAGCAGTGTTTAGGGCCATGAAACAAAAGAATTTGAAATACTGGAATTCTGCAATTTGAATTCTTACTCTTTCATGCAATGAGAGTGCAATTGTCAGGCGTTATGTTCTGGGAAGATGAGCTTTGAAGTTTGAACAGACTTCAGAATTATTTTATATGAGTCTTTTGGATCCTTGATGTCTGGCCAGATAGCTACCTACCTCACAGGGTTGTTGTGATGCAATGAGGAAGGAGAGAGAACAATGTGTAGCATTCTGTGCTTTTTGGAGGAAGGCTCATTAAACAAGAGCTCCCGCACAGAAATACACTTCCTGTCACAGCTCAAACATTCAAGCACACTCCTGAGGTGATTGTTAGATTGTATTAGATGTCTGAGTGCAACTGCACCTAGGTTACACTTTACTGCACACGAGGTTGTGTTTCAAGCAACAGGAAAGCTGTCAGAGCCTCCCTCTTCTGCCACAAAAAGACCTGGTACCGCACAAAAAGATGCAGAGGTCCAGGCCATTGCAAAGTGCATCTGTCGCGCCATCACAACCCTTGGCGACCTTCTTTGCTGGTTGGTGTGGAGTGCTCTCTGTGAAGTAGTCCTTGGATGGATTCAAGACAAGGATGGTGCAGAAGGTAGGCAAGTTCTCTCTCCTATACCTGATACATCCCCTTCCAGTTGATGGGAGGTGGGATGCAGTTAGCTGGGAAGCTCCCAGGGTTCCCTCATAGCCTCGGCTAGCGTAGGAATGAATGGTATGGCTATTGGAACTGAGTCCTCTGTCTAGATGTCATTGTACTTCAGGTCTTCAGTCAGGTCCATAGTATGGGGGACTTGGATATCCCAGGATGTGGCCATCTAGAGGACTTGTTCTGAAAATGTCCAAGGCACTTCTTTGGGGATCTCGGGCCTAGGGAGGAGATGGTGTTATCCAAAGAGGTAGAGATGGGTTCTGCAGAGTCTGCATGTGATTCAGAGTCCGAGTCATCGGATTGGTGAAACTGGATCTGATCAACAGAGAAGGCACTCTTTGGACACTCTTGAGAGGCTGTTGAAGACTCTGCGAAATGCCTGATTTATACTCAGCATGTTGAAGTGGTCTTGGTGGAGACCAGTACCTTGCAGAGCAAGGCAGAAGTGGAATCGGTAGCTGGGCCTATTGATGAGGATCTGTGGCACATTCCCACAGTCAGTCATGGAAGTAATGCCCTGGGCAGGGGTATGCGCCCCAGTATGTGTTTCCCCCATACGCATGTGTCATTGGTTCAGCACCAGTTATAAAATGATGGACCGAAACTGGTGACGGATTGGCGGAGCCAATGGACAGGGTGTCTGCGGTACTGGCTGCATGGTCAGATCACGGAGCAGTGTGTGCACTGACCTTGTCAGGGAGCTTTAAGCCACTGGACTTTGCATCAGTGAGTTGCAAATCTTCCCCTCTGAAAACTATGTCGGTGGCAATGGGTCAGACTGGATGCTGCAGTTCGATCAGGCTGGAGTTGGGAAGCATTGGGCAGGAAAGGCTTGGACTGGTGTACTCAGTTCAGAATGGTTGCTTGAGCTGATGAGCTGTGGCGCTTGGGCTGAGCTGGAGAGTGGTGTTCTGCCCTTTTGCCGTGTTTAGCTTTACAAGGCTTCTTGATCATTTTATGACCCTCAGATTTGAGACTTTTTCTCCTTTGTGCTTTTTGGGTACACTGGAGGCAGAGGACAGTTTGGAAGCCACTGAAGGGGACTTCGGCTTACCTGAAGCACCAGTTGACTTTTTAGTGGCCTGCCTCGAGGCTGAGGAGCCTTCACTTTCATCACCAGTGACATCTTTCATGGCACCAAGAGCCCGTTCCCACATTTCCATTCTGAGAGACCTGGCTTTGTTCTTACAGACCTGTTTGGTGAAGTGTGGACACTAGTCCACTTGATGTTCTTCGCCCAAGCAGATCAGATACAGTGAACGACCATCATTTGAGGGCATTTTTCACTGCATTCGGCACACTTTCAAAGGCTGGTTTAAGCGACACCAGGAGGAGGAGAAGAGAGAAATCTAAGACTAAGAGGGAGTAAAGATAGAAGGGGGGGTTGTGAGGAATAAAGAGGGAAGGGGAGGACCTTTAAAATGGGGCGAAGGAGCGAAAGTAATGAGAAGTATACAGTGTCGAAGAGAGCTGCGGTAAAAACGAGAGTTTGTGAGGAAAAGCTGAAGAAATTGAAAGCTAGAGATCCTGATGCACTGCAAACAGTGGTCGAAAATGAACTATGTGTGTGATGCACAAGGACCATGACAAAGAACTGAAAGCAGCTGAAAGAAGAAACAGGAAAATAAGCCGATGCCTCCTGAATAATTACTGGCAAAGTTCCTATGGCAGTGTAGCAACTTGGGTCAAGTGCTGCAGGCTCCATCTCCCTGTAATATTTATTTATTTATTTATTTATTTATTTATTAAAACATTTTTAATAAATGTAATAAGCTGCACATAAACTGAAGGCACACAAAGGAATGGACCTTGGTCTCGTAAAGCACATTTGTGTGTTTTAAAGGGGAAAAATCTTCCATGATTTTGTTAACTGATGAACTCAACCTAGATTTTATTCCCTGACAAATATTTTGTTGTCAGTAAGCCAGTAAACCTAGCATCGCAAGCCACACAAGAGTCATGTTCATCTTACAAAGTTGCACTTCTCACAATTAGGAACTCTCCGCAATCAGGAATTAAATCAGCAATCTCAGAGATATCTGTTGAAGTCACAATGGGTTGCACTTCTCATAGGAGCCCTTAATAGCTTGAGCAATAACAAAAGGGTACCAGAACTTGAAAACTTGCCCTACACACACACGTGTTATATACCCTCACCCCAGCAGAGTGCCGGGGGGTGGGATAAGTGATGGATTTAGGCTTTGCCCAAATGTTTTTAACACTTGCTTTCCCTTCAGCGCTCCTATCAAGCACTGCCATTTGCAATGTGCCTTTTCTTTAGCTATTGTAATAATACAGACAGACACACATCTTCCCAAACAAACATGTGCAGCTCACACATGCAAGAACTGTAGTGACCTTCACTTGATGCAAGAGGCAAACCTCTTATAGCAAAGTCCACTTATAATGTACCTTCATATCAGCTTCACCTCCGCTGTGCGTATCCTGACAGAAGAAATTGTATCCTCCTTCCCATACTCCAGTCACCAGCTAGCACAACAAACAAATGAAAAAAAATCAGTTGTGGACCACATAATATCATTTAATGTTACAAGTTAAAACTATGAATGCTTTCGGATTACAAGGTTATATCCATAAGACCTCAGGGCAAGGAGGTCAGCAGTCCAGTGAGGCACTCTGGGGGCACTGAAGTCAGCAGCTGGTAGATCTACCACCTTAGCTTCCCACCCCACAGCCAAGTGCTGGGGTGGAGGGGGATGACAGATTGCTTCTGAGGGGCTTTTTCAATTCAGCAGAGAGGTACAGGTTACTCCCTTGGCCTTTTAGGAAAAAGCACCTTAAAGCAGTAGTTTCAGAGGCTGGAGACAAACAAGCCCAAGGGCAAGTCATAAGAAAGATTCCCAAATCTTCCCAAAGATTTCCAATGAAGGAGCACAACAGATGCACACACTTTTGAGATCTCTAAACCTCTTAATCAGGAAAGATGTTACAAGAAGTTGGGAAAAGGGTGCAGTGGCTTTTTTTTTTTTTAAAGGTGAAATTAAGAGATTGCTTCCCAGGCTAGGTATGCATCCCCAACACATGTCTATGATCCAGCAGAACTTAATAGTTTTCCAGACTACAAAAGCCTCTAAAGCCTGTTTTACCAGAGGCAAGAGTAGGATAAATACATACTACAATTTGTTAGAAGTTATACAGACTTTCCCAATCTTTTACACTTTGCATCAATCTTTTGCTTTACATCTCTCTGGTCACTTGTGCCACAACATTTTAACATAAAATGTTAGAGTTTAATAGTCTGCAGGCAGTCCCAGGCCAGTGGATAATCACAAGAAAAAAACTCCGCGAGGCAAGAGCCCACCCTATGGAGTTTCAGTAATTTCTTCTGAAAAGAATCCTGGTAGCTCCATTTAATACAGCTTCCCTGGTCTAAAAAAACAATTTTGAAAAATCAAAAGGACTAGCCACAATATTTGCAGTGTATCTGTTATGCCGTTAACTGGCTTCCATCAACTGGCCGACAAAGAAAAGTCTCACTTCTCCAGGATGCAAACTGGGCTTGCCTCATAAGCATTCAGCCAGGGGGAAAAACCCTTTGCAGCTTATAATATGTAGTGTAAGAGTTAGACTGTTCAGCTAAGGAGGAAGGAAGCACAGATTTAAACCCCACCTCACACAGGAAGCTTGCTGACTAACCTGAGACCAGTCCCTCTCAGTCAGACTAGCCCCACTTCAGATTTGTTGTGAAAATAAAATAAGAGAAAATATTATTTATTGGATTTATATCCTCCCTTTTTTCTTACGATGAACTCAAAGCAGCTTACATTATTCTCCTCTCCCGTTTTCACTCTTATTCCCACAAGAACAACCCTGTGAGGCGGGATAGGCTGAGTCTGTGACTGGCTGAAGTGACCTAGGTGGGTCCATGGCTTGGCAGGGACCAGAACCCAGATGGCCCCGATCCCAGTCCCACTACACCACACTGGTATAGGTATGTTCCCTAAGCAGTCTGGAAAAAGGCAAAAGTTGTGGTGAAGTCTGTCTAGGGAAAGTAGTCCAACATAATTCTGGAGGCCATTAAGCAGGGAAAGAGTGGAAACAAACAGCTGTCTTTAGGCACAGTTCTTTCTTCCATATTATACAATATTTTTACTACTACTACCTTACTTCCATTAACCAATAAGAAAATGCATTTTGTAGTAAAGGGAGGACAATTCCTCTACTTTTTTTGTTTTTGTTTTGCAATGCTACCAAAGCAGAACCTAGTCGTAACCTACCAAATTTGTGCTCAGACTTTTCTTGAGAAATACTTACCACAAGAGACACCACTAGAATTGGTTATTTCATTTATATTTTGTAAGTTCTTCTTCTTAGCAACTTTCAATTGTAACAAACATTCTGATCGAAACTTTCAGTTGTGCAACTCCTCTTGCACTTGACATGGCAGAGATGCAAACATTCATTGAAACAAAGGCTTGACCATTAACTGTTCTCATTAAAGTTTTAGCACAAACTCTGTGGCAAGAGCTTGGCTTTTTGTTTAACATTCTAGAGGTAACTGAGAATTGCACAAGGCTTTTAGGCAATGGCTTGCCTTAGATTAGGCATCCTAATCTAACGATCTGTTAAATCAGATTACCCTGCCTTTTCTAGAATGAGAAAAGTTGCATGTCATTGAGATTGTTAACCATTCTATGATACTTCAGTTGAATCTTGGTTACGGAATCAAGTTATTGACAGGACTGTGGAGCCCTGAACTGATTCCCTTGGGAATACGGGGCTTTACTTGTGCATGTTTGCACCCCCCAAACACAAACACAATTTACAGAAGTCTCCATTCTCTTCAACTGAGGCTTCCCCACTATGTAAATTGTAGACACAGGGACCCTGATCTAGGTGGGGCCTACAGGGCAAAGCTCCCTCCCACCCCCTGCTCCCAAATTAGATCCTGCATAATTTCTTTGGGGAAAAAATAAATCCCAAACAAACACAGCTGCATGCTACATATTAAACTAACATCCATAGGGACTGTGAGCTCATCCACCATTCTCCTTAGCTGGAGCTACAGTTGGGTATAGGGAATGTGTCTTGGTTGCTATGCTAACAGGATTAACTAAGAGACCATCAGAAATTCAAAGATGGGAAGTAACTCCTGAGCCTTAGCAAAACATTTTACTAACCAAGATTACCCTGACACACCACTAGAAACCTATATCTTGGTGCCTGAAAGCCAGAGATCAATTGAATGCTATAAAAAGAAGGGCAACAGGAAATGAAAGGCTGGGCCCCAAACAAGAATGCAACATGCTAGGCCAAGCAATAGCTTCCCTGGTTAAAATGCCACAAGTGAAAACAGAGGCAAAACAGATCCTAGATTATTAGTGCTTATTAGTATTAACATTAATTACCATTTATTTCAGTAATGCTCAGTTTAAAACACCATTTTAAAATATGCGATCTGAATTTTAAGATTTTAGCAAGATTCAGGACTAGATTGAGTTATTGGTGCATGTAAGCATTTCCCTACCATTAAGAGACAACTTTTATAAACAGGCAGAAATCATCATTCTTTAAAATACCAAGGGAAAACTGGTGAGTTACAATAAACACAGCCACACTGTATGAATTGGTGCCAACTATTTGACCTGGAACACATACCACAGATGCCATGAGCTCAATTTGATCACCTACTTCACACAGAAAATATGTCCAAATGAAAAATAAACACAGGCTAGTCTTCTCTGAACAAACAGACTGCTCCTATCTTATCTGCACATTTATTCAACAATGCCTGAAATAACCTAGTCTTTTTAAAGTGTATTATTCTTCTGCAAGAAATCCTATTTTGTCATGGGTTTTTGTAGGGGTAGGGTCTGTTTAGAATCAAATGTTTCTTTTGCAAAACCTTCACAGGGTTAAATCTAACTGCGTTCTCTCTGCTGACAGAAGACTCCTCAATGGAATGAGGAGGGGTGTGATGCAGTGGGAATTGCTGAAAAACATGCACTAGTACAAATGACAGCCAGCCACTCCCTTTCAGGGGAATGGCTATTCTGCATTTACTTTGATCCTATAACCATACCAGAAAGTGACATAGCCAATGCTGCATGTCATATGCAAAGAGTTCAATGATGAAGGCAAATATACCTTCCTGGGAGAATGCTATTGTCTGGAGAAAATGGCATTTATGGGTATCATGCTACATAAATTTAGGGATCCCTCTGAATGACAAACAAAAAGGCAGGTAGGTCGTACATGATAAATTATCCGCTCCTGCTTTGCACCAACACCTTTCCAATAATTTTCAGTAAGAAAGGCAAATGACTGGCTAGGAATATACAAGGACAGCTGGCCAGAAACATTCCTCAACAAAATCAGTACTGGCATTTTGGAGTGGTGTTTTCAAGACTGTGATATTTAGGATTTGGGAGTGTCAGTAAATGCATATTGTTGAAAATTGGCTACCCACTGGCTACAGAAGGCTAAATTCTAGGGGTGATTTTATAAACGCATTCTTTATTTTTCCATCATTTTCAAAGCCATTTGAAAATATCTTGCCCAAAAAATTAACTGTGCATTAAATTTGGTATATAAAACCCTAAAACCCTTAGGCATAATCCAGCTTTGCCACAAAGGGTCCTCTACTCCATTTACCCAACACTGAGATGATGAGAAACTGGGGAGCAAGACTGCAATCCTTTAAAAAAGTTATTAAGGAGTAAACACTATTAGAACTTAACTTCTGTGAAAACAGGCACAGGATTATTCTGGCAGCATTTTATTGTGCTATCAACTAGTTTTAAGTTTAATGCATAAGAAAAGGATAGGAAGTGGCAATATACACTCTGGAGTAACCTAAAGTTGACCACTAATTTAGACATGAGAGAAAACACAGTGCTCTTTAACACTGCAAGCATGGTTCTGTCAATCCATTTCTTGAGTGGAGCTGCTATTTCCATTTCTGAAGTTCTTGCCAGGATCAGGCTTGTTGCTTTTATTCCTTCTGCGAAATCTCAAATTCACAGAGGGTTGCAGGATACCAGCATCTCCCCTAGAGGCCTGGCTTTTATTTAAGAGCAATTACCAGTTGTGACTCTCCCAAAAGCCTACCCTGATGTATTACCACCATACTATTCACAGGCTGCCATCTGAGCTTCTTTGCTAGAGGAACATGTTCCCCCTCAACCTCACGTTACAGGAATCTCATGTGCAAGGGCACGGCACTTGCACCATTTTGTAGGAAATACACGTAAATTCCTGAAACAGCAGTGCTCAAGTAGGGCTATTACACTCATAGCTTTAAAAAAAAACCCTTACATGTAACAGGAGAGATGTGAAGAGAAAAGGGCACATGTCTGTGCTTGGCCAAGCAGTTCAGTAACTGAGTGAACTGGGTCATTAACAAATACACAAATTGCACAACAGTTACACAAAACATTACAACACTGGAAATCAAGTCTCTTTCTTCTTTTTAATCTACAACCCCTGCATATGTCAAAGTGTTTTGTAATGTCTACATAACTGTGGACAGCCTGGCCCTCAGGTTTATACCACATCAGCATATGGGCTATGAGATGCCTTTCATCTTTATCATCAGCATTTATTTGCATCCTGTTCTTCCCTCCCAATGGAAGCCCAGAGTGAAAATATATAGAATACCGTATAGTTAAGAAATGGCAGATATTTTTGCTACAGCATCCTTAACCCCTGGTCAGCATAGATTGGACATTCTGACAGTTGTAATCCTAAACATCAGGTTCCTTACTTCTGCTATTGAATGATGTGCATACTCTATTAAAATATTAAAAATGTAGGTCATATCTACTTTCATTATTAAGAGTAGAAGCATAAAATGCTATGCATTTTCAAGCACCTCTGTGTGGTGTTAATTAACTGATTAACTGACATCCTTTGAAAACTATTGTATGTGATCTCATATTTAATCTATGATGGTTCTTTTAGCCCTACAGTTTATCACTGGAGGAGTGAGGCTCCTGCCAGAATGAGTTTAGCCAGGAAAATCTTTCTGACAACAGGCCCCACACAGATGCAGAAATGTGTGATGCACAGAGACCACGAAGAATAACTATAGGAACCTGTTTCCTGTTATTCAGACAAGCAGCTGACTTGTCACAGTATGACCTGGATAAATTACATAATGCATTGTGTGAAAACGGCTTTGCTCAGGGGACAAACCCAGGAGTGAAGCATTCAAGGCAAGAGAATGATCCAATTTTGTAATTACCATGGAGAAAACACCCACACAAATATTGCAAGGAATAATATAGACCAAATTCAAATATATAACCCCTTCTTTTCTTACCTCATAAAACATATAGAGGGACAGCAGTGTAAGTCCAAGGTTATAGACCACTAGAATACCCCTGCATGAGAATGGTGGTCTTTTCTGCATATACTTTGGTCCTAACCATACGATTAATAAGTACAAGACAGAGAAGATGAAGGTAGGTGTGTAGTTAGTCAGGAGAAGCCATCCTTTTACTCTGGGATCTGGAAAACAGCACAGGTTTTATTTAATGTAATGCTATGACAACACTTACCATCTGGACGTTGCTGTTTTAAAGCTGTAAGGCTAGTGAAGGCTAGAAAGGCAGTGTATGTGGAATCACTTTTCCCCAAGTATCTGGCTATCCTCAGTGCCAATATCCCAGAATAAAGGAGTCTGGGACTAAACTTTGTGCTGAGTTTCTTCCCACCACCACCCATTTCACAAGACTTTATCAATAGGCCCTGAAGAAATAATAGGTGGCAAATGAACTTAGAAAGGTCAATTGTTCTGAATTATGCAATAACCATACACGTAGAGCTGTTTTATTTAATTGTACTGTTGCTAAGGGAAGTACAACTAATTACATTCCCTTTACAATATGCAGTTCCCCTAAGGAGCATTTGACATACAAGTCCACATATTATCTCTTACATCCTGATTCCAGGTGCTTTTTTATTTCAAGTAACTTTTCATTCTCTCATATGCAATTAACTTTACTTTCCTCCCCTGTTATTACTGCATTATGTTTTTTAAGTATGATGGATTTTAAGAGGGGTAGGATGTCCAAACACACCATTTAATTGCCACCTTAACAGTTTAAAAGTGCCAGGTTGGTGGCAAAATAAGGACAATTTAATTCTTTTTCTAAATAGCTTGTAAATGTTCTGCATGCAGAAGAGTTTGTGCTCTTCTGTTTTACAGCCTTGTGTGTGTGTGAGTGGGGGGGGGGGGTAACTTCCCAAAAAGTTTGTGTTAAAATTTTGAGCTTTCACATTTTAGAAACCTGGGACTTGATCCAGCCAGGGGTTGATAAATTTAACTCGCACTGACTTGATGGCACAATGAAGCACACAAGCATACGGACTGCCTTACACCTTGCTATTCAACATCTATGTAAAACCAATGAGTGGAGTCATCCAAAGTCTTGGAGTGCCCTGCCATCAGTTTGCTGATGACACAGAGCAATATTTCTCCTTTTCATTGTCAGCAGGTGAGGCTCAGGACGTGCTAAAGCTGTATCTGGTTACAATAATGGACTGGATGAGGGTGAACAAACTGAAACTCAATCCAGACAAGACTGAGATGCTGTGGTTGGGTGGGTCTTTTGACTGCATGAGGGCAGGGAATGTTCGCCCTGTTCTGGACAGAGTCACACACCCGCTGAGGGAACAGGTTCATAGCCTGGGAGTGATCCTTGCTCCAGCTTTGTCCCTCGAGGCTTGGGTGGCACAAGTGGCTTGGAGAGCCTTCCATCAACTTTGGCTGGTGGCTTAGCTACATACTTGACTGGGCAGGGATATTCTGGATGAAGTTCCTGTTCCAGTAATCGATACACTGGATTACTGCAATGCACTCTAATATGCTCGAAGACCGTTCAGGAGCTGCAGCTGGTGCAGAATACAGCAGCCAATTAATCTGTCGGACCTGCAGATATGAATGTATATGACTAGTTCTGGCCCACTTGCATTGGCTGCTTGTATGCGTCCAGATCCAATGCAAGGTGCTGGGTTTAAGCTATAAAGCCTTACACGGTTTAGGGCCACAATACCTGTCAGAGAGCATCTCCTAGCCATGAGTGCTTACAAGGGGGAGGGCTTTTGCAGTGGTGGCCCACATCTTTGGAATTACCAACTGAGCCCCACTGTGGCTCAGCTGGTGCTGAATGTGTCGCCTTTTTAGCTCCGAGGATCTCTTTTCTCAGGCTTTTAAGGACTTACTCAGCCACCCAGAGACTTGAGGGAGAAGACCAGGTGTTTTGCTGGCTCAGTCTTTTGTTATTCCTTGCTATCATCTGTTTGTATTATCTGTTTTTAGATGTTTAAAACTTCTTAGCATTTTTCTCAATTTTATTATATTTTAATTGTATTTTCATCATCTGTTTTTCTGGACTCTGTAAACCACCCAAAGAGCTTTGGCTGGGGAGTGGCAGAGAAATGAAACAAACAAAGAAACAAGCAACAGCATCAAATATTTGCTCCAACACTTAATGCTATGTGCTTGGACTTCCCTGTTGTACTACCTCAGATGCTTTCAAGTCATTAATTGGAAACCTCTTCCAGTCTGGAGGCCAAATTCCGTACTGGACCTCCTGGGGGGCTCATTCCAGTGGTGAATGGGCCAACGGGATGGGCCAAAAGCAAAAGGGCTGGAGTAAAAGATGGAACTGACACCTTTCATTGCTTGTAACTATGCTTTAGGAAGACACATGTCAAATCTGGGGACAGAAAACCATGCAAAATCACCAAAAGATTAGCAGTCAGGATAAAGGGTATACGGCCATCTGGAGAATTAGACTTGGTTGCAAGGCCTAAGTTGCCCCTCTGCTTCAGCTGGAATTATACCTACCCAAGGACAGGAATCAAACCCAGGCCCTCCTACACATACAGCATGTGCTTCACCATTTAGTAATAACACTGACTACATACGCTCAAATCTTCGCCCCCAAACTTGTCAGTGAACCCAAGTGCTTAAACGTTGATGGACATTTCATCTGGTAATCAGAGAGCTATTTTAGTACTTGCCACTGTCGCTATGAAGGTTGACTTGCTGCTGACAAGGCTAGTAACTGATGGATTCTTCTGAACAAGCCAGTGAGATGGGCTCCCACTCCCCATACAACTATTTCATGGTGGTGTTTGCGCTGAACAGCACTAAATACTTTCAGCCTGGCACAGTGCTCAGAACAAATAGACTCAGCACTTCTGAGTCAGTCTTGAGATGGCTGTGGATGCAGGAGCCTGAAGTATATCTAAGAATTGTGTACACACACACACACACACACACACAACAACTATGTTACTCTTCTCGTGTCTCTACTATATGTAAGGATAAAATTCAGGGCGGCAGTAGCTCTGGGAGCAGCTCTTTTGCCTACAGTGGGATTTCTTGTGGAGTTGATATTTATTTATTATGCTACTATTTTTGTCCTAGGGAGTACTGTCCCTGTTTGGAGGTGGGGAGGCAGTTCATTTATATATATACACACATATGAAAAAAACACCTAAGGCTACAATGGAATAAACCAGAACATCTATTTTATTGAACTGTATTAAGTCATTGGGTATACATACATGCACACGCACACACAATTTGCATCGTGTTATAAGCCAGATAAACATGCCAGGAGACTTGGTCCTCATCCACAAAGACACCATGCAATGCTTCAGTTGTAAGTTTGACCACTGAACAGTAGCTAGATGGCTCAGTCCCTTAAATATAAATGACATACCTCTTGGTCCAAGCCAAACATCCAGATAGCTATTGATTGTTTTGTCCAGGGATTCCATTGAATGACCTAAAGTGAAAAAACAAAGCTGTTTTACTTTTCTTTACAGACACATACAATCTAAGGTAACATTTTGACTTGAAGGCCACTCCTCCTGAAATATACCAGGAATATGGATGCGAGTCATACATGCCACATGCTAGGAAGGGTGAGGAGAGACCTTGTGTAATACCATGACTGCCATCCTACACTAACATACTTCGGCGTCAATCCCAATGAATGCAGCGGGCTTACATCTTGAGTAGACCTGTACAGGATTGCTCTGCAACTGAGCTTTCTGCATTTCTTACAGATATATAATGTAAACTGGGATGATGCTCCTCCACTTAAATTGCATGAGAGGTTGAAACAAGACTTAGTACAAATACACTGGAGATGTTTGGTTTTAAAGTAATTTTCTAAGGGAGTTTTAAACATAACAAGTGTGCTAGGGTAAAAGTTTTCTTGCTTTCAGTAGTTGAAAACTGTGGAAAGCACAAATAATGAGAAATGGACACTGAGATGGAATGGAACACATCAAGAAGTTCACTTCTAACACAGCAACTCTTTTTAAAATGGCTTTTCCTGTTCTGAAGACACCATGCAAAGAAAGGTCAACACGGAAGCGGCCTAGCCCAAGCAACAGGACTGGGAAGGTTCCACCTTAAAGAGGCTTCGGTCCGCAGATGGACCAAGCTACCTGAACCGTATCTCCTAGTCTTATCTTGTATATCTGCTAGCCTGAATCTGAAACATCAGTAAATCATGCTAGCTGTATCTGCACAGGATTAATAAGAATGTAAAAAGGGACCCTTTCCAATGGACTCTCCCTCCTCCCAGGAAAGAGCGGAGCTCTTTTGGGTGGTACAAGGGCTGGTTCAGTCTGGCCCTAAGAAAGATCTGGTTCCACACTCGAAGGCCCGCTCTGATGACTTTGCCAAGCATTTCAGGGAGAAAATCGCTCAGATTCACCATGAGCTTGACTCTACTATTGAATCAGATTCTACTGGGGAGATGCTGTCGACGCCGTCGAGTCCACAATCAATGGATGAATTTCAGTTGTTGCGGCCTGATGATGTGGACAAGGTGCTTCGACAAGTACGCCCTACCACCTGCTTACTAGACCCATGCCCATCTTGGCTACTTAAGAAAGCCAAGGACGGGATTGGGACCTGGATCCCGGAGGTGGTCAATGCCTCTTTAAGAGACGGCCCGGTACCTGCCCCTTTAAAGGAGGTGGTAGTCCGGCCAGTCCTAAAGAAGGCATCCCTGGATCCAGAGGTGGCCGCCAATTATAGACCGGTGGCCAACATCCCGTTCCTGGGCAAGGTGCTAGAGCGGGTGGTGGCGGGACAACTCCAAGCACTCTTGGATGAAACTGATTATCTGGACCCATTTCAGTCCGGCTTCAGACCCGGGTATGGCACTGAATCTGCCTTGGTCGCCCTGTACGATGACCTGTGCAGGGAGAAGGACAGGGAGAGTGCGTCCCTGTTAGTTCTCCTGGACCTCTCAGCCGCTTTCGATACCATCGACCATGGTATTCTTCTGAATAGGCTAGCGGGATTGGGAGTTGGAGGCACTGCGTGGCGGTGGTTCCACTCCTATCTCAACGGCCAATTTCAGAAGGTGGTGCTGGGGGACTATGGCTCTGCGCCATGGCAGTTATGCCATGGATTTCCGCAGGGATCCATTTTGTTCCCCTTGCTGTTCAACATCTACATGAAACTGCTGGGAGAGGTCATCAGGAGGTGTGGGCTGCAGAATCATCAGTACGCTGATGATACCCAGCTCTAGCTCTCGTTTTCCACCAATCCAGGTGAGGCAGTGGCTGTGCTGAACCGGTGCCTAGCCGAGGTAATGGGCTGGATGAGGTCCAATAAACTGAAGCTCAATCCAGACAAGACGGAGATCCTGTTAGTGGGTGGCTTGGGCCTTGGGATGGGGGACTTGGGCCTTGTTCTAAATGGGGTTGCACTCCCTCTGAGAGACAGGGTTCGCAGCTTAGGAGTGCTCCTCGACCCTGAGCTGTCTCTAGAAGCTCAGGTGACGGCGGTGGCGAGGAGCGCCTTCCTTCAGCTTCGGCTGATCCATCAGTTGCGTCCCTTCCTGGAGAACGACTGCCTGGCGACAGTGACACACGCATTGGTGACTTCCCGATTGGATTTCTGTAACGCGCTCTACGTGGGGCTACTCTTGAAGACGGTCCGGATACTTCAGTTGGTGCAAAATAGAGCTGCTTGTTGGTAGCATTTGAGGGGGGAACACTTTTTATTGCTTGCTTCTATAACAGTGACAAGGTGTGTGTCCTTGTGGGGTGTGGGGTGGGAGGGCTGGCCAGGTTTAGTTATCAGCATGGCATTAACCTGTGTGGACTTGCTTTGCATGGCTCCATATATACCATGTACATCACAGTGTTCAGTACCTGGCCTCTCCAGTTAAAGGTTCCCAAGCTGGGAACATTCTACCTTAAAACAGGCATTGCCAGGCAGCAAACATACAACTGAGATAAATGGACCACTATTTTCTAACCAGATGGTTTTAGACTTCCACGGGCCCCTCAGGCTGTTGCCAAACAGAATGCCAGCACAAAAACAACAATCAGCACAGATATTCACCAAGCAATATTCCTTCCAGCAAATGTTCCAAAGCTACAGTCTTCCTTGAAGTTTATCTTAGATGCACACCCCATGGACTGTATTAGCAGTTAAATGTTCTCAAAGTGTTTATACTGAGAGATGATGAAGCTTGTGCAGAGTCTTCTCACAAAATAAAATTTTAAAAAAAGGAAAACACCTACTGAGCCACTTTTAAACCACCACAGTTGAGATATATTGTGTAGTAATTGTATGATAAAGTAATTATTCAAATTTATCTTAAGGACCTTACTAGAAAGAATGTATATCCATTCCTTATTATCCTACCCATATAAGAGGCAAGCAACTTACCTGGAGCCAAAGCAAGGGAAGCCCAGGAAGGCAAGATTCGTTGCAAAATGGGGTTTGCTTTGTTTCCCTGCACCCTTCTCAGAGGAAGGGACAAAGGGAAGGAAAGGGATGTTGGTTCTTTTCTCTAGGCCAGACACCCTTTAAACTTCATGGATTACACCCTAGTAAGAATATTAGGTCTAACTAACAAACCCTCAATAAGTGATCTTGAGGATGCACCTCCCTGGATTTGTACTGCTTCTCTAAATATATAACAACATATTTTCTTTATTAATTTAGTCAATTTATATTCCACCTATCTTCCACCATAGCATTCATGGGGTCCCCAAGTGGTTGCCCATCCAAGCATTGACCAGGCTGAGGTTCAGTAAGTGGCTGCCTTCAAGAATAGCCAGGATGCTTTGAATACAGCTGGTCTGACTGAGCTATGATTCTGGAAGCTACAACCAGACCCTCCTGCAGTCTGAACTCCCAGGGTCCAACATTCAGTCCTGGAATGTTAATCCTAGTGTCTGCCTCTTAACAGTAATTAAGTCCCATTCTCAAATTTTACTAATGCACAGGATGTCTGTGGTCCTCACCACAATACATGGTGATCACCATCAATACAGGTGGTCTTAAAGAGGATTGCACATATTACAGAGGGCAGGGTCATCAAAGTCCTGCCAGCTACAGGCTACGTTCGGTGTCAAAGCCAGTATGCCTATGTTCACCAGGTGCCAGGGAACATGGGTGAAAGAGTGCTGTTGCACCCATGTCCTGCTTGTGGATTTCCTGCGGGCAGCTTTCTGGCCACTGTGGACTAGAGGAATCCTTGCAGGGTTATTGTTATGTTCTTAAATTACATCTTCAACTTTCAATATGTGAAACTTACATAAACTTCTGATAATCCAATGAGTCAGTCAGTCCTTGGTGTTACGTGTGTGTGTGTGTGTGTGTGTGTCCATCCGTGTGTCCACACAGACAGCTGGGACTATCCAAGGAGAATATCAGAACGGAAATAGAAAAGTCAGCATATCCTGAAATGCTTACTGTACTTCCAAAATCAGGTAGAAGTTTGCTACACTTGTAATCCAAATCACCAGTTAATAAGAAAAGGGATAAATTGTCATCCCTGATAATTATTGCAGCATTGACTAAAAGGCTTAAACTTGATACACATGTAAAACAACTGATTTTGTAAAAAACAACAACAACTGAAAAATGGACTTAATGCTGCTCCCTTAAAACAGGATTTGAACTATATCCCTTAGTAACTAAAATCTGAAATCCAATACATTTAGAAGGCATGATTGGCGATATTTGCACATCTTTTGGAGGGTGTATGTTGCGAAATGGCTAATAGTCACAAAAACTAAATAGCTGATACTTGGGGAATGGGGTATATGTTTAAGTATATGCTTGTGTGTGTATCTCAGAGAGAGAGAGAGAGAGAGCGCGCGCGCGCGCATATCAAGGTGCTTGCATTTAAAACAAAAGGTCCAATTAAGAGGTATGACATGTTTACATCTATCAGTAAACACAGAGCACATGATATTTACTTTGAAATAGAGATCAGCATTTTGGCATAGCACAAGCCAAGCCATATGCGGAACTGAACACCAAGCCATGAAATGTCTACCATCACTAAGGTGGTTGGGAAGAGGTCTTCCAACAGCAGCCAGATATGTGAGTCTGCATTTGTCTAAATATATAAATAAACTGAATGTAGCAAATAAACTGACATTGTGTGCAACTGCAAAGCCTGCACAGGAAGAATTACAAATAAAATTTTAACAAAACAACGAAATCAAGACAAAGTCATTACTTTGCTTCTCACATAAGGTAGAGGAAAAATGCATTCCCCTCAAGCTTTGGGCTGCAGTCTCTCTGACAAGGCAATTTTCATGCAATACAATCTTTACTGCAATGATATCATTTCAGTATGACTGGAAACTTAAAGTTACAAAAGACCACACTGTATTGTCAATATGAAGAATCTACAAACACAAGATGTGTTCCTGGTTTTCTCTGCAACATACATTAATTTCTGTCTTTACAGTGACCTTTTGTTTGCCAAACTTATGCAAGAAAAAGAAAAGA